TAATAGAAAGAAAGAGTACGACACACTTTAACCATTGAATAGAAAATCAAAGCGGATTTACCAACTTGCTATATAATGTATGGTCAGAAACTTCACTTTTACTCATAATGGAATTTTTAAGCCCTGCCGTGTTTCTTGCGCCAAAGATATTTTACCTTTTCCATACATTTTCAGTGCCTTAACCTCTGCCTCCTCACGGGAAAGGGGATATATAATCTGATCCCTTAGGGTTCCCAAACATGTATATGGCCGTTGAGGAACATAAAAGATGCCACAACCGGATCCAGTCTCTTGATCCTCAACCTCGGATGGTTTAGAGAGTCTTCCACTGGCTATTGGCCAGAGTCCTCTAAGAACTCTGAAAATGGAACTTTTTCCACTTCCATTCGGACCTTTTAAAAATAAGATACTTGTAAGACTAAAATTTAAATCACATTAAAATCCCCTATTCTAAAGGGACAAAGCAAATAAAATACAAACTATACTAACCAGTAACAAGTAGGCTTCTCCCACCCTCAATGTCGCATATTAATTCCCTAGCCAACATCTTTTGAGCAGGGGTTATGATATCAACTTTTGAGAAGGAAATGACATCAGTGGAATGAACATCCCTCACTGGAGGTATAGAACTAAGACTCGTGAAATCCTCTGTACGGTACAAGCTCATTAGCACACATTATGACTATTAAAGAGAGTTACTGCCATAGAAACACCAAGATATTGTTTGATATGATTAATTGTAAAACTTAATGACAATTAATACCAGATTGTGCCGCATCCAGAAGTTCTTCAAGCTCAAAAATCCTGTTAACTCCACCAGAGAGCTCTACAAACTTTCTATGCAATTCAAGAATATCACCAAAAGCTAAAAAGCTTTGAGAAACTACAGAAGCCAAAAACCTCAGTGCATGTGCCAGTTCACCTATTTGTATAGTATCGTCTGTGAGATGGGAGAGCAAGAACTATAAAGAGAGTAGATGACTCAATGCAAACATCTTACCCTGGGTGGTTATTGAAGCACGGTCTCCCTTGTGTTCCATGGCATATAACAAGCTTAAGCCCCAAGTCACATTATGTGGAAGTTGCTTAGTGATAAAATCATCCAGGATACCAAACAGCCACTTCCTTTTTAAAAGTAACTTGGAGTGAGTGAGAAGTTCCCTGAATCTAGACTCGACCATCTGCTCAAACATTAAGAGTATAATTTACAAATTGGCAATAACCAATGTTTTAATCATGTTACTGAAACTAAAGTCATCCAGAAATTATCATAACATCAAAAGGAGCTAACAGAATAAATTTGATCTCTTCCTGTCAAACTGAATCCCAATTCACACTTTCCTGTATTAGAGCCTAACATCATGTAAAATTTGATCAAACACATAATCAAGTGTATGATTTAGGGTATGCTTAATCAAGAGGTGGATGATGAGAAAGCGGAAAGTTGAGACAACTGAACATGGTTGGATGGAGGCTTTGATTTTTACTCTCTATGGCTTGGTAAATGGTCATGGTGATCCCCGTCATAATGGTATAGTTGCTGCTTCATGACCAGGTAGTCAAGGTGCTACTCAGAGTGATAACTCAACCGCCTTTTATTGCTTCAAATAAGGGTAAAAATACTTTCAAACAAAGTGCCTAAATTTTGGATGGTGGATTGACGCCCTAGTTTCCTCCCACATTGTTATTGTGAAAAACATTTATTTTCATTGAAAAGTTTGCAAGTCCTCAAACATGCACACACTTTAAGAAAATAAATTCAATATTTGCTTGAGTTAGGATGCTCACAGCTTTTTCTCGAAAACCGCCTCCAAAGAAAGCAACAGATTCAGCATGAGTACAAAGTCTTTCATGCATGAACCTAGAAAAGAATAAAGAGATACAGATCAGAATAACTGCACAGCACTAGTTGACAAGTACCTGGAATGTTAGCAGACAGTAGTATAAGTTTACCTAAATGTTCCTTCAAGTTGTTGTTCTTGACTTATCAAATCGCCAAATTCTGGAGTTACAGTTCTTAGAAATCCCAGACCAAGGAACATGTAAGCATAGAGTATGGCAACTCCCCTCCGACCTGTTAACAGCTTCATTCTCCAAGTGAACCTTTACAATAACAAAAGTACTTAGTAATTAAATAAAAACAAAGAGAACGCATAAAATATGTTAATTCATCATGTACTAGTAAAATACACTGTAGTAATATAGTGACTACTTTGCAAATGAAGGTGCTCACCATAAAATATCCACAGATGGCTTTACCATTCCAGTGACCAGTCCTGACAAGTCTGTTGTTAACTTCTCCAAGTCATGAGTTATCCTTTGATCAGCATCAATATTTTTGCTTGCCATGTGGAAGACCTACGAAGATATGCCAAGTAATGTGAATTTGGAACCAAGCCTGTCAAATCCTGTGCTAATTACTTTTTATTAGGGTAAATTAAGATTTCAGTCTGTAAAAATAGGAAAACTAACAAAAAATTTCGTACTAATTTGTCCTCATAAAACTTAAAACATATTTTTGTCGTCCTTGTTGTTAACAGCACTGGACAGAAACATATCCTGGCTAACAGACGCTGCATCAACCACAAATCCTTCACCGTTCTGTGTGCCAAAATCATTCTTACATTGCTGACTTTCTTCACCACCAACTGTTTTGCAATCCTTGGGTTACTTCCTCTTTCAACTGCCATGGGAGGTCACATCAAAGGTCCTAACTTTCATTATTGTTAACCCCTGAGCGAGGTTGGTCACCAACATTGTCGTTGTTACAAGCAGAAGAAGACACTTACAATTAACTGGAAACCATTTCATAGGATCCATCTATGATTGGGTTGCAGTAATACGGGGAGGAGAGCCATGTCCTTCACGTTTCTCAAAGTGCATCCCGCATGTTAGCTTGGAAGGCATAACAGCCTCCGGCAATTTTCACAATCCTAGGGCTACTTCCTCTTTCACCTATGCCGGGAAGTCACAATGCTATTATTGTTAACCACAATCCGAGGTTGGTCACCAATATTCCACTTGGTTCGCTGTTGCAGGCAGATGAAGACACACACTCCTTTAGAAACCATAACCAAGGATCCGAAATGGGTTGAGGTAATACGGCAAGGAGAATCACATCCTTTACAATTCCCAAAGCATACCATACATGTTGCCTTCGAAGGCATAACAGCATGCGGTGGTGATGCAACTGGCTTTGTGATCCTTGGAGAAGAATCTGGCACCAACGAGCTTGCAGTTGCAATTTTTGGGAGAGAATTTGTGCCGGTTTCAAACATGACTTTCCAGCAGAAGGGAATGAAGGGAATGAGGCCAAAGTTTAAAGCAGAGAAGTAACAGTGCTCTAGCCACATGCTGGTGTCAAAGACTGGCGATGACTGACGGACTCAAATTAAAGGCCTTGCTAGTTGCAGTGACCGAGGAATTACACATGCAAGCAAAGAGGTGAAAGTTGTGAAGGATAGTGGTGGCAAGGGCGAGAGTTCGTTTTTCAGACAACCATCATAAACAATGAAGACCACAAAAAAAATATTTATGTCATTGGGACTAATACAAGTTTAATTTATGATTTTTATTAAATTCCCTTTTTTACCCTTTTNTTCCACTTGGTTCGCTGTTGCAGGCAGATGAAGACACACACTCCTTTCGAAACCATAACCAAGGATCCGAAATGGGTTGAGGTAATACGGCAAGGAGAATCACATCCTTTACAATTCCCAAAGCATACCATACATGTTGCCTTCGAAGGCATAACAGCATGCGGTGGTGATGCAACTGGCTTTGTGATCCTTGGAGAAGAATCTGGCACCAACGAGCTTGCAGTTGCAATTTTTGGGAGAGAATTTGGTGCCGGTTTCAAACATGACTTTCCAGCAGAAGGGAATGAAGGGAAAGAGGCCAAAGTTTAAAGCAGAGAAGTAACAGTGCTCTAGCCACATGCTGGTGTCAAAGACTGGCGATGACTGACGGACTCAAATTAAAGGCCTTGCTAGTTGCAGTGACCGAGGAATTACACATGCAAGCAAAGAGGTGAAAGTTGTGAAGGATAGTGGTGGCAAGGGCGAGAGTTCGTTTTTCAGACAACCATCATAAACAATGAAGACCACAAAAAAAATATTTATGTCATTGGGACTAATACAAGTTTAATTTATGATTTTTATTAAATTCCCTTTTTTACCCTTTTATTATATCCCTCATTCCATGAGAATGTGATTTGTGGTTAAATCTAGTTACCCACCCCCATCCAGTCACTAATACTCATCCTATAAGCCTTTTCACCCTAGAAAATTGCCAACTTTCCATGTTTGTATGAGAAGGTAAATGTTGCTATTAACTCAATTGTTAAAGACAACGTGGAACTATGAAGAGGTCAAGGAACAAAATGGAAAATTATGTTAAATTTGAAGAGGAAATAGTAGAATGTAATATAGCCATGAGATTTGAGACACGAATTTATTTCAATAAAAGGTTCCAGATATAACAATAAAACAATTTGTGACATTGATTTATCGGAAATTACTATTTATTCAAACATAGATAAAGACACACAATCTTACAGTCTTCAAAAAGTTAAATTAATGAGGCTGAAAAATGAATGAATTTACCTTGTAAAATCCATTGTTTCTTAAATAGTTCTGGAGTAGATGTTGTGTCAAACGAATCCGCCCACCAAGAGCAAGCCTCGCAGTCAAGTGTCTGTAGATAGACATACTAAATTTACTTTCTGAAAGACTCTTTTTAGGTCAACCTAAACAACCTTTTCCTCCATTCCAATGCCTTAAACTATCTACGCAACTATATAATATTTTTCATATTTTAAGTGCTATCGATAACATACAAATAATAGAATATAGAAATCAATGGTAAATGGTAATACGTCAACAATTATCCATTCCAGTAATTCATGGTACGAACAATTTAAACAGAAGTCCTTATACGATGCCCTTTAGCAAAGTTGTTTCTTGTAATGTGAATGTTAAATACCTTATAGAAGGCGCAATGAAAGAAGATGCAGCACTTTGGAGAACACTTGTACCAATTAATCGAATAAAGGAAACTTTATCCTGCTCCAAAACAAGCTTTACAGTAGTACCTGAGAACACAAATACCCAGGGCCATTATACATATGATCTCTTAACGAAAAGTCAGAGATAGCAAAATACCATTCAGTGATGCAATCCGATCTGACACCCAGGTCCTTGAAACAACAAGAATAACAACAGCAAGCAGTCGTGCTCCTTGTTTATCAAATATGGTGGGCACCTAAAAGCATGCAATAAACATGAGAAAAATACACTGATGATTAACCAATGCACAAAACACATCGAATATCAGTTTCTAGTTTCCAATCAACAATAATTGATCTACAGGACATACACAAACACATAATTCACAGTGCCATTCAACTACTTCAGGGTTTCGGACAGGGAAAAATGAAAAGAGAACCAAAGCTAAGATGTATTACTAGATTGAGAAAAACAATGCAATGCCAAACATTATACTTTCATTTATACTTATAATTAGGTTAATACCAGTGTTATAAAAACAAGGCCGAGTAGGAATGATAATGGGATGGGGAGGATGCCAGTTTAACTATCCCTATCCCCGTCCACAAAGTAAAATCATACCTATCCCTAATCCTGATGCATAACGAGAATGAAATTTGTACCTTGTCTTATCCTGTCGGGTAATGGGTATACCTCTATACAGTTAATAGAATAAAGTTGCTATCAGTGAATTAGAAGATAACCATCCTCCCTTTTCGGTATTGAAGCTACTTGTTAACAAAAATTATGTATTCAGTTATCCAGATATTTAAACTGTTTTATTACTTTGTATCAAAGCCAATTAAATCTTCCAAGCCCGCAGGACCCACCATCATTGTCCTGAACCTTAAAGATCATTCAATTTTAGCAAGTCAGCCTGATCTTAAGATAATTCAGATTCATTCAATCTTATTACCATTGTTAGTCAAACGTAAGACTTGCCTAAAACTAAATTGATTGATTAGACATCCTGATTTTTCATAACTTCACTAGCCAAGTTATATAATCGAAAGAATTGTAATTGCATCCATTTTACAACTAATAAAAGTCTAAAAATAAATTGCCAGTAAGCCAACCTACGTAACAATGTCACTATCAGTCCGCAACACACTAGAAATGCATGTCACTATCAATCCGCAACACACTAGAAATGCAGGTTGCAGAGATTTGGAACATTAAATTGACTGAAAAGACACAAGCAATAGATATTCAGACTAATAAATTTATCATTAACAGGGTAATATCAACACCAAAGATTTTCATAAATGTCATATCCAAAAGCATATACAATTAACCAATTATTCAATATGATGGTAAAAGTGTTCACTTACAAAATAAATATATAAAGTCAAAATCGTACATTGCATATCTACTCAAGATACTTACCAATACTTTGCACATGGCAGCTACTCTCATTGGCAGTGCCCTTGAATTACCACAAAGTTGGGGAACAGCAGATGAAGCAGTATGTTTCGTAGATGGAGATGATGCTATCACTTCTGTAATATATGATTGTGCCTTTGAATTCGAGAATGCAGAATCCTAGGCATAGGAAAAAAACAAAAAATCCTTCATTATTAATTTAAGATAATGAACTGTGAAGATACCAAAAAACAAGAATCATAAAAATCTAAACCTTTTTATGCATAGCAAATGCTCTTTGAACTGCCTTGGCATCATTCTGTCTGTTTGTCTCCAATGCCTTCATTGTATTATTTTGTAATGCGGTAGAAGAGTCCTCACTGCAGTTAAATTTGAATCTTCTAATTAATAAGAGTGTCAAAGGAAAACCGTAATCAGCGCACAGTCAATTTCCAACCTTCTATGATGAACACTCCAGCCTCCCTCACCATCTAAGGACAAAACCACATCATGGAACGCAACTAATGCTGGACGATGTGATATGGTAATACATGATGTACCCATAGCCCGAACTTTAGCACAAAATCGTTCTTCCATATCAGTTGTGACAGCACTTGTGCACTCATCAAGAATGGCAAACTTAGGCTTATGGTAGAAAAGTCTAGCCATGCCTAACCTTTGTTGCTCACCCAATGAAAGTTCATCACCCCAGTTTACCTCTTTTTCAGGTGGATATCGATCTAATAGATACTCAAGATCAACCTTGAATACATGTAAAAGTAATTCAAATGAATAATAATTATTAAAATGATATAAATATCATTAATGTGGCATTGCCAAAAAGTAGGAGTATATGAATTTCACATTTTTCAATAGCTCCACCATCCCACCATTTGTAAGTGGTTCATCCTCTTGATCGGCAGTAAGAGGATAAATTAACTGATCACGTAGTGTTCCTACAGCAGTATATGGTCTATGTGGCACATAAAAGATTTCTTTATTAAGATCAGATCCTACTCCTGGTTTCACAATATGTCCAGATACCAAGGGCCAAAGACCTCCTAAAACCCGGAATAATGAGCTCTTTCCACTTCCATTTGGACCTTCAGCAACATAATTATAAATACGTGTCAAAAACAATTAACCATTTGAAATCTTATTTTAAAATCCAAGGATACATGTAAAACATGATCATTTCAGATTGTCAAAAGCCAAGCCAAACAGACAAGCATCATATCAATTTTGGTTTTACTTGACTCCGTAATATATAATTTTCCATCCCCCTCAAATCTACATGCTCACCAGAGTATAATGACCAACCAGGACCGAACAGTTAAACTATTTACCATCTTTGTGTTAGTTTATATTTTTTTTCTTGAACAGATAGACTGAGCTAGTCGACAGATAGACTGAGCTAGTCCACGCATTAGAAGTGGTAATTTGCTCAAACTGTGAAACAAAATATTGTTAGAGAGGCATAATTGGTTCAACAATATTGCCACAAGATGCATTAAGGGAATTGAGATTTGAAAACGGGTGCATACTATCAGTGGGGCCGAGGATACAAATGCACTATCAATTACATTACAATTAATATTATTAACTTTTATTTGATTGATGCCTACAAAATCAATCATCAATGCAAAACCTTTTACTAAAAACTAAAACTAAGCAACATTTATAAATCAGTGACCTTAATTAAATCAATTGATAATCAAAGTGGTAAATGATATTTCTGCAAAGTTTACAATTAATTTTAGCTTCAAACGTCAATTGTATGGCCTTGTTTGATTTATAAATTCAAAATTAACAGTCCTAAAATAACCTAGAAGACTACAGTTGGAAAATATAGCATTCTAGTAATGATCAACAGTGGTAACCTCTATGAAGCTGCTAAAGAAAAGTCACAAGTACCACAAGGCAGTGGCCGAAGTGAATTTCTAGGAGAATGCACAAGGTAAAAGTGGGTAATAGATGATAACAGGTAAAAATAATGTTTGTGGGTTATACTCTCAGAACAACTTTCCAACCAGCAACTACCAAGCCTTATCCCAATAAAAGGGAATACTAAATTTTTATTTCCAACTATTCTACATTTAACAAGATTTTACAATGCCACCCACATAAATTGCATGAAACACTGTTGAGAAACAATATAGATTGAATATAATGTATCTCTGATGCAGAACCTGGTTGGATGCATTAATCTAGGCGCTTGCCAAAAAATTGAAAGGAAACAAGCCAAAAGTTTCAGCTACATTACATCCAGTGCCAATAGTGCACAACCCTAGCCATATTTCCCGTCATGTGGATACTATAAATGCATGTAAGAAAAATTAGGCCCCAGAAATGAATGAATAATTAACCCTAGCCCCCCAAATAACATGTAAGAGAATGATTATTGCAACAAAGGAAAAGAAGGGGTAATGAATTAACATCAATTGACAAAGTTGATTCAACCACCCAAAAATCGCAAAATCAGAAGCACCCACCAAGCAGAGAGTTCATACCTGTAATCAAAAGATTTGATCCTGGCTCAACCTTGAGAGTTAGATCATCCACTAATACATTACCATTAGGGGTCACAACCTGAAGTTCGGGAGCATCATCACAATCACGATATAAAAAACATAAAGAGAAGTAAAAATTCATAAATAGTTCGGCAGAGTTCACTAGCCTTGACACCATAAAATCCAACGTAGTTAGCTTCACTTATGCAATTTCTACTTCCTTGTCTTTGCAGTGAAAAGTTCTCATTCTCCAAGCTTAACTCTCTTGATATGGCCATTAACTCATGAATACGATCAGCATAACCACTGTAAAACATACAAATAACTAAAGTATATATACAAACAAAATGAACCCTAGAAAGGCATGTCCTCTAATATAAGGGACATATGACCAATCAAATATACCTGAGTCGGTTCAGCCGTCTTGCACTAATGGAAAGAGTTCCTAGAGATTGAAAAAGGGAAATAATGACACTAGTATGATATCTCAGATTGCTTAGCATCTCTGCACGCCCTAAAGTTGAACTGTCAGGCCTTAGATGGCCAGAAAAGAAAGGTTCAATAATCAAAATAACAGCAACAGTAGCACCAAGGTACTTCAATAAAAAATCCTGAATCATGCCAAACCACCAATGGTCATGTAGCACTCTCTTAATGTGTCTAAATAAGGTCCTAAACTTCTGTTGAATATGAGCTTCTTCTCTCCTCTCTCCACCATAAAATGCTATACTTTCTGAGTGAGTCCTTAACCGTGAGTGAAGCTGCCGATACTCTCCTTCCAATTCCTGCTCTCTGGACATAAGTTTACCAAAAGCAGGAGAAAAGTTTCTGATTGTAGCCCCAGCTCCGAGTACATAGGCCTGCACAGGAAACAGAATTTATTGAAACGACTTAAATTCACATCAATAGGTTCCAGCCATCAGAAACTCAACAAAAAATTAAGAACCATAGCAGCAAGTGAGAAATCTGTGAAACAGTACACTTTAACTAGATTTACCAATATCCAGAAGATATATTTAGGGCTTGCATATGAACAAAGCCGCCAAGAGTATAGCAGGCCATCAGTCACCGCAGTTAGGTCATCCTGTATAATCTCACTTAACTCTGAACAGAACCTTGGAACATCACTGGCAATTCTTTGCTCTGGATTAGTTATCCGACCATCAACATGTGATATTTTGTAATACACCATGTTCTGAAATAAAAGTAAATTTAAACAAACGTTCACATAAAAACTAAGTAGAACACTATAACATGTCATTAAGGAGGCATGGCAATTACCAAAAATATATTGAATTGTGCATGGGATGGTGATTGACATACTTGCAATTAAAAAAGGAAACAAAGTATTTGATTCTGGATAGATCAAACAATTGTTCAAAGCAACAAGGGGGTTAGCTTGATACTTTTTC